CCTCAGAAAGATGGGTTGAGTCAACCTTGAGCCTGATGGGATTTGAACTGCCAAATTGCAGGCAGCAGACAGTCTGCAGTACGGCACTCTAACCACTGTGCCACCGAGGCTGTATATCTTTTGCAGTGCAACTTAGCACAGGATCCTGATCCTTTGCACCTGATATTAACCTAGTCAACTAAAATTCTATATTAAGTGCACCAGATAAGGGTCAATGTAATTCAAGAGTTGGACTTTTTGAGGGAACATAACAACTCTAGGCTGATGACTTGTTTAACTCCACTTCCCATTTCTGTCTGCTCTTCTATACTATTTTTCTAAATTTGAAGTGTTCTTGTTATGACTTTAAATTATTATTCTCCACACAGAATTGTGGAAATGAAAGGAGTGACCATAAAAATTATATAAATAAACAACAATGTTAATGTTGTTGTATACTCCTTCTACAACATTAGAAATCTAGTCATCAATTCCCATTTAGCTGATAAAAGGCTGACAGATACTGGATGGCATGAAAGTGTTTATGTACTGAAATATATATTAAAAAAGAAAAGGTGAACTCTTGTGATATGCTTCCCAGTAGGGACCAATCTATCAGATGTTTTAGGAGAAACATAAATATTTCAACTTGTAGAAATTGTTCACACCCTCTTAACAAGGAGAAACTCCTTTTCTTCTCTCTTCGGTGACAGGTGCAAAGTTCTGTGATAGGTGCAAAGATGTGTAGAAAATTCTATCGTTTGCTTGTTTGCTTCTAGAACCCTAACCTAGATCAGTTTAGAATCAAATAAAATTTGTTGGCTTATGATATAGAGGCAAATTCTTATTGCACAAGCTAATGAGCTTATAGGTTATACATATTTGTCCCTTTTAACACCACTTTGAACTCCACCAACAAGAGCTTCATACCAAGTTTTTTAGAAGCGGTTTGCTTTTTCCTTCTTCTTAGGGCTGAAAGTGACTGGCCCAAAGTCACCCAATTGGCTTTATGCCTAAGGTAGGATTAGAACTCAGGATCTACTGGTTTCTAGCCTGATGCCTTAACCATTACAGCAAGCTGGCTCTTAAAATGAGTATTTGTTGCTAAAAAATCTTTTTTGCTCTGTGCAGTGATTAAAAAAAATACTATCAATGCTTAACAGCTTTTCACAATCCTGTATCCAAGTAGCATATGATTAAGAATAAACAAACTGTACCAAGGAGAATCAGATAAAATCCAAAAATCCTTAAACTCACATGCAACTGTAGTGTTTGTGCAAATGGTAACTGAAAGCTACATGAAGGGAACACTCTAAGTGAGCAAACTCATGAAGTTTCAATGACATGTTTGGTTAGCCTACATACTGCTGATATTCAATTTCATGTTAAGAACAAGTGCAATTAAGGAAGAAGCAAGTTTTTCTCCCTATCATTTGCCTACAGTCTGATGTTTTCCTTGGGGAGGGAGAGAAGGGAAGGAAGGAAGGGAGGGAGAGAGGGAGGGAGGAAGGAAGGAAGGAAGGAAGGAAGGAAGGAAGGAAGGAAGGAAGGAAGGAAGGAAGAAAGGGAGGAAGGAAGGAAGGAAAATTTCTACTTTAATCCAGGAAAGTATTAAGTTGTATGGATGTTAGGTAGAAAACTAAATGAAACAGTAACTGAGAATCCTGCCATGTTTCTGACTGTAATAAAGAAATTATCTGCAGGGACTTTGAACTTTCCAAAAGGTGAATAAACAAGAAAAACAGTGGATTATTCTTAGGACACAACTCATTCTCTCAAGTGCCAGTTGCCATGAGCAAAGCCACTGCCGGATTCTTCACTGTGTTTTATGCTGGTAAGTGAAAATGTACACATCATAGCAGACATACCAGCCCCTAAACCCCTAAAGTTTAAAGCATGAGGTTGGCTCTCATTATAACGTACATCAGCACATAAGGTGATTGTCCAAAATCACTAAACTGTTGAAATCTGCTAATGTCTGATAATTTAGGACAAAATTGCTTCAAATATACTGACTTCTGGTGGTTTCAGATATCAGTATAGCATACTGGCTTCATCCCTTTTATTTCTAAACAGCATACTACAACTACATAAAAATAGGTTGTTAGGAGTTCCTACTTGAAGTTTTTGTCAGCAGAAGTAAAGATGGTGAGACAAAGTAGAGAGAGGCAAGACAGAAAGTTACATCAGAAATAAAATGGTGGGAGAAATTTTTTTACTATTATTGAGCCTGAAATCTAATTTCAGTATTTCCATCCTTTGCAATCTGCCTATACTATTTCCCCGACAAAGAGGTGTCCCTTCAAAACACACTGGGTCTCGGTTATAGTAAAATATGCTTTTGTTTGCTATCTGTTTCATCCTTCCTCAAAAAAAGAAAGAAAGAGAGAAAGGATCTTTTGAGTTGTGAAACCTGCAGATTCAAGAAGGATTGGAATAAAGGATTTATTTTATGTAGCATATGGCACCTTACATGTTTAAATTGGTTACATTTCTCCTTTTCCCAAAGCAGATTTTTTTTAATCTGATGATTGCTGAAACAATTTTCTGACTACAGCTGTTTGGAGTGACTTATTAATATAATTGTTTTCATTTCCTTGTAGCAATCTTTTGCTTCAAAGCTACCTGATTTAATCATACCCCCAACATTTTAATTCATTTAGCAGTGCCCTGACATTGGACTAACAAATTTTGGCAGTCAGATTTCAGCCGTGTAAGTGGAAATGAGACACAGGCTTTTAGAAGGCCTTTACCGCTCAGCCAGCCAAAAATCAGTTATTCAAGCTAATTTCAGTCATTTTGGGAGGTTTGGAGGGCTTTTAAATCAGTGGGAATAGTACTGGGATTACCATATACAAAACTTCGGAAAAGATTCCAAAATAAAGACCCCCAAAATTTGTTTAACCTAACACACATTTTGGTAATACAATTTTACCTCACCAGATGGCCTCCAGAATATTGAGGTGCTGAATTGTACCCCTATCACTTTCCAACCTTTCCTAGAGATAAAGGAACATGGAGGTGAACTAGTCTTCCCTCTTCAAAGTGGGTCTCATGGCTTTCAGTGGACTTTTATAATTCTGCAGTCTCTACCATTTATGGTAGCGGTGCAAATCTAAACCCATGCTTAGATAAGTTCCTGCCCCAATGGCTATACCTGCTTAGAAACCAAAGGCTAGCCTGGACCCTTGGTTACACAATCATTCCAATGATTTTGGCTGGATGGAGTCTGCTGAATCCAGAGCATAGTGCTCAGTGCATAAATCTTTGATGACTTTACAAGGAGTGGAGAACATGTACATTGTAGCTGCTGACTTTCTTCTTGGGTACAGTAATTTGGCAAGTAGGTTTTATTTTCTGAGTGGCAGAAATACCTTCTGAATCCCCTTGCTGAGATTTACTGGCAGAGCTTTAAGGTAATTATACCACAACTGTGTGTGTGGTTTTGCACTGATTTACCAGACGCAACTCTTGGAGAGTGTTCAGTGAGGGAAGAGATGCCGTTCAGCTCAACTGAAAGAGCAGCTTGGAAGCATTTAAGCAATTTGAGCATTATAGATATTTTAGCACAGGGCTCCTGAGTTTAGCTAGAGTTTTAAGTACAGGCAACATGGCTTCTGCTATGTAATAGTGTAGTTGAGCCTTGCATTTAGGGTTCAAGAAGGACATTAGTTAAACTTCAGAGTTAGGGAAGTTCAGATGTGATATTTAATAGGGGCAGTATAGTGAGTCCATGTTAATCTTTTGATAAATTTGATAATTAATTTCTAACCAATCCTGTTTTATAATCCTGTAGTTCCTTATCCCTTGATTATAACTATATCCTATTTTCTTTGTTTCGCCCATGGAATGATACTGAACATGCCCACGTGAGTTTGATCTGGCTTTGCAAACCTCTAATAAATATTTGCAGATTAAAGGATTCTGGTGTCTTGCTTGAGTAGAGAATGAACCTCAGCTTGGATCACTTGAGAAGGGACAAAAACTTGCAAGTTGTAAACAGAAGAGAAATAAATTCAGAAGTTCCTTTTTACAGATTTTTACTCTTCTTTTCACTGAACTTTTTATTCCAGTTGATCATTTTATGTCTTTTGTAAATTATAAAACTGCTATATAAATAGAAATAGCTTTTCCTTCTTTTTTACTCAAGGCCTTTTATTTTGCATGATGACTTTTAGACTGCAAACCAGAAACCAGGATATTTTTTTTTCTTTCTTAATGACCTTTATAAGCTCTTCTGGAAACCTTTTTCAGCTGAACAGCACAGTAAAAATGTTTTAAATAAATGAGTAAATTGGGAATTATGATTTAAGGATATACGTTTCCTAGCTCCCTTCACAGAACTATCATTTCCTTGCAGTTAATGAATTAAATCTAAAGTCTTATTAAGAAATCAAGTATTAGTTTAGTACCAGTAACACAGTGGCATCTAGGGACTACAAGTAACAGACATCACATAGTAGACATTGTAAAAATTACTACCCGTAATTTTGTTATCCATTTTTCATGTAGATAAAATGTTTCTGGGCTAAATCTCACAACCCAAATGGAATTGGGGATGTTTAACAAATAACTGATCTATCCTGCAGTTCTATCTTTTCTAAACACTATCAGGCATTTAGCTGGACACAAGCATTGTTTTACGCCAATAATCTCTGTTTGCACTTGACCTAATTAGTCAGCAGTGCTTCCAGTTTGTACACTCCTGTTTAGAACAGTATTTCATGACACAAAAAGGGAGGGAACTGGAAAGGGAAAAATATAAAAAAAAACCTCAAACATGTGTTTGCCCTAATTTTTGGCCTTAAAGAGGTACATGAATGGATTTGCTCTGCTATAAGAAAGCACAATCATATCAAAAGCTTCTTAGAGCATAATAAAGCAGGCCACTGTTCAGTTTAACATGTGGTGTAACAATGATTAAATACAAGGGACCATGGCAATATGTGCTTGAAAAGGTCAGTTCCCGTTTGCTGATTAAGTCTTGAAACCGAAAACAGAGATGACAAAGATCTACCATGCTTTAGAGGTGCCAATTTTATTCATTTATTTATAAATCCATTATGGCTATTTCTGTTTACATGTTACATTTTCTTAAAAAGGTCAAATGGCATGGTATTGAGGGATTGTTATACCAGATACAACTTTGATTTAGAAAGATACTCCAGAAATCACTTTATTTTTTCCAGTGTAAGGCATTTGTTTACTTGTTCATACAGTACATTTAATACCAGAACCCCCAAAATAGGCAACCCACATTCTCAAGCCAAGATCTTTTACAAGGCCAATTAACTTTTCCCTTGTGCTATTTCAGACCAAATGGCTAAATGTTACCATTTATGACACCTTAAATCATTATTCAGATGATAAGAAGGCTCTCTAGGTTTTTTTCTGATGAGTTTCTGGAGACAGCCAATCCCATTCATCTAACTGAGGTCACTCCACTGCTGGAAGTACAGAAGCCATTTTTCTGCCTAAGAGCTCAGTGTGTGATCAAGGAACTTCATTAACACGGCCAGCTAAATAAGCCTTGAGTATATTTAATTTTCTCTGTATTTACTTATTATCATAAAATTGTAACAGTTCAAAGAGATATAGAAGCATCACATCTAATTCAACAGACTGCTGCAGACTTGTAGACTTCAAGTCCCAGAATTCCTCAACCAGCTAAGTCTTAAAGTTCCCAAGTTTGGAGACCCCTGCTCTAGAACATCTGAGAGAACACCGTTTAGTTTGTTTGAAGACTTTTGGCAAAGATGTCAACCCTTTCAGATAGACGAGACTAAGAAATGGACACCACCCAGATCTAAGCTACTTTATTGTAACAGCTTGTTGCAATAAAGTAGCTTATTTTGTAAGTCTGAATGTGCTACCTTCCTTTTTCATCTTGATGAAAATCAGTCAGACCACTGTCTGAGACACTTTCTCAAAGTACTTTCTTGACCTGGGCACCGGTTTCATTTATATGAATATCTTCCTTTTGTCCTTCAAGGCCATCCTGTTTATCTACTACATTCTATTTCTTTCTGTGCATCTTACTCCACTCAACTGCAGTTCATATCGTGAAGATATTTACCTGACATCTAATCCATGGCTATCAAACTTGATCACAATGTTTTTTTTGACTTTGCACAGATCGGTGGATATGGCCTGTGTGTGATGCATCTGGCCTGTGGGCTGAGAGTTGGACTGGCTTAATCTAATCTGAACCTAGTTCCTTGTAGTTTTAAGCCATTGATTCTAGCCTTTCCCTCTGGCCTGAGTTTTAAGCTACTCTTTTTATATAATAAGAAAGCCATTTCAAAAGATTTCCCTACATATTATGGATAGACCATTGCAAAGGTTTTATTTGGAAACTAACTGAAAAAGATGGTTCTCAATTTCCTATTTAAATTTGGATCTCTGCTCCTGATTACTGTATAAAGTAATTTAGCAGTTAAATTCCTTGTTACAAACCATCTGTAAGGCTGGAAAAGCCAGCTAAATGGTTTGTGATGTTTCTATTCAGCTCCTTCAGGGCATTAGAAATACATCAACCTTCCCCAAATTGGGGTCTCCAAATGTGTTGGCTTATTTCCTCTGGAATTCTCAGCCTTCATGAACAACTCTGGAAATTTCAGCTCAAATATAGCAGGAAAACATGAAATTGGGGACATGCAAGATACAACACAATGCAGACAGATTGCCTCCATCAAAAAGAAAATTTTCTCCTTATCTATGTGTCCTGATTTTTCTGGTAAGAAGTGGGTATTAAAATTCCAAACTTCAAATGTCAATTACAACAAATAGGGGAAGTCACCCAGGCTTTGCACTATTATCTTGTTTTACTGCAACAGTAGACTTTCCCATTTTAAACTGAATGCAAGGAAAACTGTATATCGACCCAGCAGCCTGATTCATAAACAAGGTCTGGCCTCAATCCTGCTAAATTGCAATACCTTTGCAACAGACTTATAATGGCAGCATTATTTTTAACCGTGTGCTGGTGTATTTATCCCTATGTCCCCATCACCCGCCTTAGTTTGAGCCCTTGGATAGTAATACACATTTTAGAAACAGCTCCATATAAATAGTATGAATTTCCTTGCACTGGAAAATGAGTCTTTAAAAAAAGAAATTTTAAAGTCTGGGTTAAAAACACTTTATGCAAACATTTGTAATTAACTCTTCAATATTTTTTTAAAAAATGAGCTTTTAGACAAGTAACATATTAGTTGCTAATAACTTATTTTCTTTTCCCTTCTCTATTAGCATTCTAGTTTTAGACTGACTAGGAGTGTCAGATTCATTTTTTTTATTTAAGAGATTGGATATGTATCCTTATATCCAAAGTGAAGGCATACAAGTCTGAAGACTGGATATCCATAATGTTCCATAGAGTAAGGTTGACATTTTTTCAAGAAGGCCCTGTCATCCATATAAAAATTTGCACATAAAACAAGAATGTATCGACTTTATAGCTTTAAAAGGAAGAGTTTTTCCAGCATAATCAGCTACAAAGTACTTAATCAGATTGTAAATTTAACTGAATATGTTGTCATAATATCGAAAATAAAATTCTTATGTTTTTTGCTTCCCTTTTAATAATTGTTTGATGAGCTGAGAAAATTAACTTGCAATAGGTATTTTGGGGAAAACAAACAAGGAAGATAGTTAACAATGATATTTTATCCTATGTCAACATGATTTTTTACATGCTACTATAATTCTATTCATTTTCTTTCTCCTTTATACTCATGTATAATAACATTCATGATGTGACTAATCAAAAGAGTTCTATAATCCAATTTTGCAGTTGGAAGAAATGATTTGTATAGTTTCATATTAGGTAAAAAGGAAGAAATGAAGTACATAAAAATATGTTTTTGTACAGGAGAGCTAGCACAAATGAAATTGTAAAAAAATCAGTGTGAATCAAAGAGCATTGTAAAGTAAACAGAGAATTTCATCTACGGTATCTATTTACAACTAGAGAAAGAAGTAAGTTGTACTGAACGTATCTCAATGAAAGGATCACAAAGAAAGAATACTTTATCTTATATCTCTGAGGTCTTAGAAAGCTCAGCTTTTTGACAGTTCCTTTTCTAAGTGTGAAATCCTTCATATTTGATTCTTTCAATTGGTACAGAATAAGAGATACAGCTTTTTAACAATACTGCATTTTAAAAAGACAAGACAAACATGATTTTTTTAAAAAAAAAAACAAATACAGATAGTGAATACAATAAAACACTGGCCATTGTGTCAAAGCTTATATTACCAGTTGTTATATCTCAACATCCAGAACCATATTGGAAATTTTGGAATATTATAATACTATAATATTTGAAATCGATGAGATGGCAGCAGGGGTCCACTCAAATGTGTATCTTTCTTTTGCTTTTCATAGAGAATGCATGTCCTCAAGAAATATTTAAAACAGTTTAAAGCTAATTTTCCTATAAAAGTTAAAGATGCACAAATCTCAAAGATGCAATACCATAACGTCAGGGACCTTAGATGGAAAATAGAAAGAAAGTGCTTCTGAAAGATATGACTTACATTTTCCTTTCCCAGCCTCATTTGTTCAATGTGCTGAAATACATAGAAAGAACACACTAAAATAAGACTTTTGATCCATCCCTGGGCACACATCCTGTTGGGTTCTGGTTGTGCACTAATATTTTAATTGTTTTATCTCACCTGAAGCCTTTGAAGAGTCAATGCTTAGTAATCAGACAAGGTGCCACCCACTTCCAATATCCTGTCAGAGCTGAACCTAAGACTTGCCTTTCAAACAGATCCCCGCTTCACCCAATTCTTTTCCGGTCTATTCTGCAGAGAATTTTTTTAAAGGACCTCCTAAAGTCATGGTTGAAGATAGTATAGATGACAGGATTCAGGGAACTATTGCAATAACCAAACCAGAAGAAGAACTTGAAGAGGGTATCAGGAACCTCGCAGCTCTTACAAACAGCAGTCAATGTGTAAGTGAAGAAGAAAGGAAACCAGCAGACAACAAAAACTCCAATCACTACTGCGAGTACGAAGGTGAAGCGCTTTTCTCGGTTCTGTCTACCCCTCCATCGTGAAGCTTTGGCGTTCCTATCCTCTTCTACTTGATTAGGCAAATGGTCCCCAGGCTTAATCTGGCAGAGTTTGGTTTTTCCCTTACTTCTGGGGAGCCTTTCTGCTTTCCTAGGCTGAGGAGTGTTGTTGTGCTCTGAAGAAGATGTGTCCTCCATGTCTATACCATTGACTTCTGCTTCCTGGGTTTCTCCTGCCAACGCTGTCTTCCCCCCATTGAGCTTGGTTATCGCAGGCATATCGTCTTTGTTATCCAGGCCATTTTGTCTCCTCTCACCAGTCTCCCCTTGCTTGTTGAGAGGCACTCGAGACCTCCTTTTCGCAATCTGGTAGATACGGATATAGACCAGGATCATGATAAGGCAAGGAGCAAAGAAGGAACCAATGCTGGAACAGATGATGTACCAGGTCTCCTTACTGATACTGCAGCTGAGCAACTTGTTCTCAGATTTCAATTCTGTTTGTTCGTGGAGCTGCTTCTCGGGTTCACCCTGCTTCATATTGGAGATAAGCGGTGGGAAAGAGATGACCGCTGAGATGACCCAAACCAGGAAGATGATGCTTTTGATGCGGCGTGGTGTGCGCTTAAGGTTGTACTCAATGGCCTGGGTAATGGACCAGTAGCGATCCAAGCTGATGGCACAGAGATGCACAATGGAAGAGGTGCAGAAAAGTACATCCAAAGCCAGGTAGATCTCACACCACACCTTGCCAAAATACCACTGGGGCATCAGTTCATTGGCAAGAGAAAAGGGAATGACCAAGGTGGCCACCAGGATGTCTGCTGAGGCCAAGGAAACCAAAAAGAGGTTCTGAGGCGCCTTCAGCATCCGGCTGGTGAAGACAGCAATGATGACCAATACGTTGCCAAAGATGGTGAAGATCATGAGCAGGGTGGCCAGGAAGATGAGGGCTAAGGTAGTGGGCAAGGGGTAATGAAGGCCCTCTTTCTGCCCACCCCCACTTCCATTCAAGCTCCCATTGCCATCCATGTGCTGTGGGTAGCTGTGCTCCAGCTGGAAAGAGGGCACGTGGGCCAGGGAAGCGAATCCCCCTTGCTCTGGGTACGGGCTCTTCAGCTTCAACATTAACCCAGCTTCATGGACGTCACTTAAGACAGGCACACCCTGCGAAGAGGAGGAGATCCCGCGCCTATTTCCAGCGGGGCTGGTCCTTTCTGCAGGCGCCGGAAAGCCACCGATCCCAATCAGGAGCAAGAGAAGCGGCTTGGCTCAGCTTCCATAACTGCCCCCCACCTCCGTTTCAGTCATCGCAGACCGGCAGGGCGACCGGGGCTCTCTCTCTCTTTACCTTCCTTCCTTCCTACTCCCTCAGATTTTCCTACAAAGTCCAGCCGAGACTGGAGGGAGGAGGCAGGTTGGGGCTCCTCAAGGGGCCATTCGCGGCAGGCGGAGCGGGAGTCAAAAGTTGCTTCTTACCTTCACCCCGCGAGAGGAAAGGAGAGGACGGGACCTCCGCGGGAGGCAGGCGGCGGAGAGGGAGCCTGGCTTCTCCCGGCCGAGCAGCTCCTGCATGGGGGCGACGAAGGGCGCCGTCCTCGCTCGTAAGCCGCGCGAAGAGACGCCAGGAGGCAGCGGAGAGTCCCCGCCGCCGCGCACTCTACAGATACAACCGGCCGCCAAAACGGAGAAGGGTTGGGGCTCAGGGTTGGAAATGGGATGCAAAGTCCCCTGCTCCTCCAGGAGAGCAGCGCTCGCTCTCTTGCCGAAGCTCAGCCCTTCTGGGCTCCCGGTTCACTTTATAGCCCCCGATCGGCTCGGCGGTTCAGTGGCTGAGCGTCAGCGCCACGTGGGGAACAGCCCCCGGCGCTCTTCCCCGCCTCTGGCTCGCAGCCGCTCCTCCGGCGGAGAGGAGCCTTTCAAGGCGGTTGCCTCAGGCTCCGCTTCCCCCCACCCCGCCTTTCCGTCCCCTCGCTCGGCTTCTTCCTGCTGCTTCCCCCGGGGAGAAGTCCTGCGCGGTGCCCACGCCCACCCGCCAACTTCTCAAACGGCTCGCTCGCACCTCCACCTAACGCGGCGCACCTCCCTCCGTTCAGCCGCCTCGCTTGAAGGGCTCCAGCTGCACACACGCAACTTCTCTGACCCTCCTTCCCGGTATTTACACAAAGCCTTTTCCTCTCCAATCGACCGGCTTGCAGACGTGGAAGTCGAAGCCCGGTTAGTACCGAAGCGGGAGGGCGGGGAGCGGTCCGCGCAAGGAGTTGAACGGGCACCGCTTCTCCGCTGCCCTTGGATCCCCGATCATAATTTGTTAGCCGTGTTTGAGCACTGCACGCACGCGTTGCCCGCTAACCGGGCATACGCTGTATCGCATCTATCGCCATCTTCTCCCCCCAAACACACACTTCAATTTTATTTTTGTTATTTTCATATCTTTTAACTCTTAAGGATAAGGTGTTGTTTTCTTTCTTTGCAAATCACAAACTTTTAGGTCGAAAAAAGTTAAATATATGCATGTGTTGGACGCTATTAATTTCAGTATTTGCATGTTATTTTTATTTTTATTTTATTTGGTTTGTCAATTGCTTCAATCGCTGAACTGGCTGATCTGTCTAGTAATACATTTATGTTTCCTGATGCATCACTGTGCACTATACCTTAGGACTGACCTGAGGAGATGTGCAGGGTTGTGCTATGAAGCATCTTGCCAGTAATTCCATCAATCATCAGCTATGGGTTGTACCTCACCTGGATAATACACAGTAAGTATACTCCCTCAAAAGGTTGCTTGCATTGTACAGTATACCACTCAGTATTTTCTTCTACAAAATGTTCTGATTCCTTGCAGCCAGTACCAAGGAGATGGACCATAATTTAACATTTCCAGAATGTTTATCTTTAACTCTCATGAATGCTTGGCATTTAGATAAATCAGTCATCAATAGGCATATAGAAAAAAGCCATATTTATACACCATTCAAAAGAGAGGAATAAAACAGTTAAGAAGTGAGAGAGAGAAAACCAGAACATCCTTTCCAGAAAACAGTACCCAGGGATTAACACAGACAACCAACCAAGCAGAAGACAATATTAAGTAGTTCATAATCAAATAATTACCAAGTAAAAACTATACCCCCATCAACACATTATATGTAAACAAGGAACAAATCCCACATCCAATAACCTTAACTCTAACCCTACTCAATTAATGAAACATATGCTAGCAAACAATTGAGCTCAGAGAGCATCAGTGATTCCACAGTTCAGTTCTGAGTTTTATATATATATATATTTATATTCACATTAACAAGATCTCTGAATTTATAGGCATATCATACTTCAATAATAAGATCATAACATTTTTATGCACGTATGAGTATGGTGCAGTTGACTGAAAAATTTACTAGTGTTGTGAAATCACAGTTATCACTGTTGAATTGTATAGTACCAACTTCAGAAAGCTTTTCCAGTTATACAGCTACCTTGGAAAAGCTAAAATAATTTATTCAATGATAATTTGCTGAATTTTATAAAATGTGAGCTGCTTAATTTTCTTTGGATTATAATCTTTGTTAAGTCAAGGGATTCAGTACCTTTAAGAAATACCATGTTTGTCATGCCATGATTCTCAAGCAAACATAAATATCCATCATTCAGTTCTGAGAGTAAGCATCTTTAGATAAAACATACAAAACAAACAATAAGTAATAATGAGCAAAAAACATTTAAGACCATTTTAAGAGGATTTTTTTTTAGTTTACATCAATGCAATTTATTATACAGGTAATCCTCAATTTGTAAGTCAAGGATAACCTGTATAATAAATTAAACAAGTTTAACAGTTAAACAACTGTCTCACTTAGCAGCAGAAATGTTAGGCTCAATTGTGGTTGCGAATCAAGGATTGCCTGTGCCCCTATATAATCCTGCACTTATACCATGTCCAGACGTTGGATGTTCAATCCTGACTGGCTGAAGGTTGACTCAGCCTTTCATCCTTCTGAAGTCAAGTAAAATGAAGACCCAGATTGTTGAGGACAATATGCTGACATTGTAAACTGCTCAGAAAGTGCTGTAAAGCATATATAGTGGTATATAGTGCTATTGCTATAGCTATGGTTATGTTGTCTTAGAAAATCCTGAGTCTGTGCCCAATATGTGAACGCCCAATAACCAGGGTAGGGATTGCACAGTTGAAGGATACCAGGGGATGTCCCCCACAGTTTGTGTAACTCTCACCTCCCTGTCCTCAGTTGTTATAGTAGACAGGGAGCATTGAGTCGTTTTCCTGGGTCCTTACCTTGTTGCCCTCTTAGCAATTTCCTGTTATATTATTAGCAATTAGCAATGCAACTGCATTTTCTACAATTCAAGCCACATTTTCTGTATATCAAAATAGCTTCTACGGCCACAAGTACCCATTTTCTTATGGATAGGATTCCCACCCTGCCCCCCCCCCCCCCATCCCTTTTTTTTTTTTTTTTGCATTTGCCTTTGGCCTTTTGCTCTTAGATTTATATATGTTTCATGTTTGGATATAACAAATTAATGGTATAATTAATGGGATCACCCTAGGCATCACACATAAAATCTCATAATTTTTTTTTGTTCTTTAAACTTCTTTATTTTTCTAGATCCCAGTTTCATCCAATCACAAGTTTTCTTGGCCTCCTCTTGATTAGCTCCATTCATTCTTCCTTCATATGTTTGTGATTAAATCATAGTTCATTTTCTGTCTATGAACCCAAGCACCTCAATGTACGTCTTCCAATGTGGTCACTCATTTTTTAATTCAGTCCTCATTTCTTCAATACTCATTCATTTTTTGATCTTATGACATTATGTGCCCATTTACATTACTGAATGTCAAAGATGCCTTGTCATATACTTCTTTTATTTTTTTGAGAAACTGGAGCCCTTTACTGTACATATTGGGACTGCAAGCCAGAGAAATTCCAGCTAACATAGTTAATAGCCAACTGTGTGTGCATTGTGGCTCAGCTTCTAATTTTGATGCTTTTTATGTGGTAAGGTATTGATTATCATGTTATAACATCATAAATTTACATTCAGTATCCACCGCTATTTTACTTAAAATACATTTAAGTGGTAATAGTACTATCATTAGGCAAGCTGTGTCAACAAACTTGATGTAGTATCTTCAAGGAAAGTATCTGCATATAGCTAATTTAATGTAGATTCAAGTCATAATACTGTAGTAACATAACAATATTACTTTACATTAGAGTCTAGCAATTCCTGTGTAGTCCTATGAGAAGCCATAGTAAAATCTTCCATGTCCAATAAGTTTAATATGTCCAGATACATATATCTAAGCATCCCACACGTCTGCATACATGAGAGCATCTGTGTTTACAATACAGATTCTATTCCCAGGCAGTTTTCTAAGAGCAAGCTTCAATAAACTCGGTGGGGTTCTCTGTTTATTGCACAGTTGAGGTTGCAAAGTGCAATGAGCTTGAACAATTGTCTATTATTAGAACTGCTGGTTTAACCAAAACTGGCTTTTCAAAGACTGAAAGTATATAATAGACTTCAGAGAAAATGAAGACTTTGGTTGATATAATGTTCCCTTTTTTTATACTTTCTACCTATCAGACAAAGGCAAATTACTTTGCTACTGTGCAATTCCAGGTTTGTTGCATTACAGGGAAAGAGTCCATAGGCCAGGCTCAATGGCTACTTTATGACCTTCGGCGATTTAAGTCAGTGCAATTCCTCTCAGGTGCCAGTAGTTTGTTTGGTCTTTACATTTTAGTACTACTTTAAAATTCTTTGTTATTGTCTTTCTGCTTTCCATTTTTATATTATTTTCCCAAAGCCTCAGATACTGCCTTTGGTCTTCAGAAAAAAAGATTGTCTCTAAAATATTTTCATTTATTGCCGATGGTAGTGTTTCAGAATGATAATACAACTTGAAAAGCTCATTATTGCCTAATCATTTGCATCTTTCCCATTGGCTAACTTCAGCCTCTACCAGATGCTACGGTATATGCTGAAAAATAAATCATGTGCTTAATGGATTTCATAGAATTGCACTCCCATACCCTTCACAGAACAGCAAAGGGTTATTTGTTGGTTTCTTAGCAATAGGAAAGTTACTTGGGTACATTTTGACTGAAAGTCTGAAAAACAGTTGATCTTTGAAAAACAGAAAGTCCAACTATGAAATATAATCATCATGATTTTCAAAACATTAGTTGCTCTGCTTCAGATAACAAAACCCTTTTTGGCATTTTGATTATTTTTTGTAGAAGATGGGAGGAGAGGTTTACATACTTGGAGATCAGCAAAACCTCTCCATGTGTGTCAGAGATGAAGTTTACTTTGTCTCCACGCATCTTCTTTTG